GAATGTCAACAGACAAAACAAAAATGAAAATAAAAATCTGGATGTAATTCCAGATTCTTTTTGGGCTTTGAGTGTAGTTTAAATTTGTCACTTTCTCACAATTTTCCCACCTCTTATGCTATCCTTATTCAACAAGAAATTATTTTAGGATTTATAACCCTTTTTTAACAAAAATTTTCCTCGTATTTTTCTTTTTTTTTTTATTTTCCCAATTACATACATATATAAATTAAAAATATAAATTACTAAATATATACACCGCAGAAATTTTTCTTCTCCAGTAATTCAGTTACCATCTGAAGGTTCCTCCCACGCTCCACGTTTCTGGTCCCATGTTCGAATAAGTGGCGCGGAAGTCGTGGTCTTCTCCCTTGCGTTCGAGTTCGATGTTGGCTCCGGTGTTTCCTTTGGCGTCTCTGCCAACGTTGGGTTTGAAGACCCATTCGCCATCGTCGGGAGAGCGTCTGAACCGTTGGACTTCAACGGGAGAGTAGATTTCGTAGGCTTGTTCGGGATAAACTTCATAGTGTTCAACGGGAATGGACGATGACACGGCAACAAGAGCCGCGACGACGAAAAAAATTGTAGTAGTTTTCATTTTTGGGTTTTCGTTCTTCAGTTTTCAGTGTTAGAAATGAACTGATTGAAGTGGAGACGAATTATTCGTATTTATATTTTGTAGCGCGAGTGTTGTTCTCGGGAATAACCAAGCGTGCTGTGAATCGGGAATTCTTATCAGTACGATTCGTTCAACAATGTGTATTAAAAAAAATACCAATTTACTTCAGTAAATGGACTTTCAGATACTTTAGCATTGAGGGAACGTCGTAGTCTTTTAAAGTGACAATTTTGCATTATTTACATTATCAACAGTTCTTGTACTGTATTTTTTGTTTAAAAAAAAAATAATAATAACAATAGAAATAATAACCTCTAAATTATATTTTAATAGTAGTGACAACAGGAGAAGATTTTTCAGTATACAAGGAAAAAAACTATCAATTTCAAGCGGAATTTCCATTTAATGTTACTTACCGGTATATAAAAAAAATAATAAAATCCCCCTTTTCGCTTAGCACGTGCTGCTTGATCTCAAAAGGTGCAAATATTTTTCTAGGATGTTGTTGAATGAAACAAAGTTCAAGGATAAATTCTATCACAACAATCTAGAACGTATTTCTTGCAAACTTCTCAGAAAATTTGTGGCAGTTTTTGATTCTGAATTTTTCCCAATTCTTTTATTTCGTGAACACATTGTATCAAAATTGTGAAATGAGAATTACAAATATATAGTTTCATAAAATAATCCCTTTTTCCAATAAAAAATCAGGACGTGATTGAAGAATTTTTTTGAAATGAATAATAATTTTGAAAATCTTCGTGTTTGAAATTCCTAAATCATTGTCACTACCGTAACCAAGAAGTAATCGTTTCATAGTTCCGGAGACTTTGTAATCAAACAGGCCGATAGAAAGCAGAGTAGTTATGTTGTGGGGGTTCTACGACAGTTTGACTTCATTTGACCTGTCCTAGGATCCCCGACTGTCTGTCTACCGTCTGTCCGGATTTTTATTAGAAAGATAATTTCCGAAACTATCCGACCGATTGTTGTCAAATTTTGTGTTTGTTAGGAATATCATGTAAATGGTAAGACGCTAACCAAAATTTGTCTGCTCTTATTCATTGCTTATTACATTATGTAGATATAACAATTTTTTTAATTTTCGATTTTTCTATTTTCGATTTCTCAATTTTCCGATTACTCAATTTTTTTATATTTCAGTGTTGGGATTTTCCAGTTGTGGCGTTTCTAAATTTTAATTTCTCGATTAATCGATTTTTCGGTTTTCAAGTTGTTCACTTTTTCGATTTGTCAATTTTCAGATTTTTCAGGCTTCCCAATGTTATTTTTTTCAATTTTTCGATGTTTGAGTTCTGGGATTTCTCATTTTTTCGATTCTTCAACTTTTCCTCCATTTTTCGATTTTTCGATTTCTCGATTTTTCAACCACTACCTTATTGGTGTTAAAAACTCCAGTTTTACACAAGTATTAAAATTTTTCCTCGAAGATGATTTTCAAAATTGGAAAAATGTTTCACAATAAGAAGACTTTTGATTTTTTTTAAAAAAAGTAATGAATGATTTTTTGATTTTTCAATTTATTGATTTTTCGATTTTTTTTCTTCTCGTCTTTTCAGTTTCTCGACATTTTGATGTTTGATGTTTCTCGATTTTTCTACTTTCCGATTTAAAATTTTTCATTTTTCAATTTTTTCATATTTCGATTTGTCGATTTTTCAATTTTTCGATATTTTAATTTTTCAACTTTTAAATTTTCGATTTTTCAATATTTTCTTTTAATTTTCCAATTTTTTAAATGTTACATTTTTGATTTCGGGGGTTTTCGGTTTTTTGATTTTTCAATTTTCCGATTTGTTAAGTTTTCATTTCAGTTTAGGAATTTTTCAATTTCTTTATTTTTCTGTTTTTTCATTCCTCAATTTCCCAATTTTTCAATTTTTAAATTTTGGATTTGCAATTTCTCGATCCTTCGCCTTTAGATTTTGCAATTCAAATTTCAGTTTTCAATTTTTCATTTTTCGATTTTTTGATGTTTCGATTTATCGATTTTTAATTTTTCCATTCTTCAATTTTTCGGTATTTTAATTTTTCAATTTTTAAATTTTTAATTTTTCGATATTTCTTTTTTAATTTTTCCATTTTTCAATTTTTCGTTTTTACGATTTTTAGATGTTCCATTTCTTGGCATCTCGGTTTTTCGATTTTTAAAATTTTTCGACTTTTCGGTTATTAGTAGCTCATTGGAATTTTTCAATCTTTCGATTTTCCTGTTTTTTTGATTCCTCAATTTCGCAAGTTTTAAATTTTTTAAATTTTGGATTTGCAGTTCCGCGATTTCTCGATTTTTCGACTTTCGAATTTTCCATTTTTCTTTTTATAAATTTTAGAATTTTCAACTTTCGTAATCGTTTCAGACTGCCACAGGTTTTTTAATCAAACATATTGATAGAAATCAGACAGAGAGGTTATGTAGTGGGGGTTCTACGACAGTTTGACCTCTTTTGACCCGTCCTAGAACCGTCATTATTTTTTATCAACAGGTCATTGACCTATTCTAAGACCCCCGACTATCCCGTCTGTCTGCCGTTTGTCCGGATTTTTATTAGAAAGATGATCTCCAAAACTACCGGACCGATTGTTCCAATTTTTGTTTATATGTTTTTCGGTTTTTGGGTTTCCCGATATTTCCACTTTCGATTTCTCAATTTCTCGATTACCAATTTTCCCATTACTCAATTTTGTTGACAATTTAATGTTGGATTTTTCAATTTTTCGATTCTTGAAATTTTCGATTTCTGGATTTTTTCATTTTTCGATTTCTCAGTTGGTATTTCTAAATTTAAAATTTTTCGATTTCTTAATGTCTCGAATAATTGATTTTTTGAACCTGGGCTTAAGATTTCATTTTCTTTGTACTCTTCTCAAGGGTAACAGAGGACTACTATATCAAATTTCTGAGTAATTTCGTCAAAGATGTCATTCTTCTTTGTTATCTCATCGTCGACACTAGCCGCAATCCAGCTTTGTGCCCTCCGATCATCCAAACATGTGTGTGCATTCGCAGACCCTATCAGCCCTAGCCAGGCCAGAACTCGCGCCTGTTCTCTAAAACGTCGAATATTTTGTTCACTGCAACTCGTGTGTAATTAATAGATATGTGATGAAACTCGTCTCTTTATTACACCTAGTTCCAGGCGAGCGAGTCGGGTGTTTGATCGTTCACCTGTTCATTGTTGGAGTGATATTTGGGTCGGAAACAGTCGAAATGCTGACATTTCTGGCCGGGTTCGGGTTCGTATGCACGGATTAGGGAGGCCTGAATGGGCTTACGCCCGTGTTGGATTGTTTCCATATTTATTTATTTCGATAGCGAATGCATCGTAAAAAGGACGTAAAAGCTGGCTCTTAATAACAGCTTTCGGTCCGGTAAATGCGAACGCGGTTTAGCGGCGGGAGGGAAAGGATAATGGGGCGTAAAGCGCAAACGGGGTAAGTGGGGTTGTGATTGTACACGAATATACATAATACCGCATTGCTGCTGTAACGTTATTAACGTGTTTATGTTATTATTACTCAAAATTACCGAATCAAATTGAGGGGTTTTTGGAGCTTTTTGATTCGGCTTTGTTTCGACAGCTAGTGATGTGTCGATATTTAATGCAAACAGTGACCCTCCAGCTAGTGTTATCGGAGCAAATAGACACATATTTTCACAAGCGACACGGATGAATTTCATATTTACAAAACGCAGATTTGCTGAATCAATGCTAGATAATTATGGTGACGCTTTTTGTTAATGTTTGACGGGATTTTTGGTCTGAAACTTTAGAAAACATGGATCCACGATTTCACCACCTGTGTCGAGCTACGTCATTTGGGACATCGAAACCGTCTCAGAGTGTCCCCGTTTCTGAATCCGAGACGATTTAGATACATCAGGGGTGTGTGCGACTATAAGGTTCGACTGCTGGAATTTGTTTTCTTGGTCTTTGTGTGTTCTCGTGGAAACGGTGACTGGAAATTGGATTTCTAGGGTTCTGTTCATCACTGAAAAATCCGCCAATGATTTGATGACGCCCCTCAAAATCTGCCGTAGTAAACACCATTTACTGTACTTGTGGTTTCAGAAATTGCGGTAGAAAATTGGTCGAAGGTTATTTATAAACATCAAAAGTTCGAGAAATCGAAGCATAAAAAAACTTACCTGAGGGTTTCACAATAAACTTATTCCTCATAAACAATTCTGCATTTTTTTGTTTTCTAGTTTATTACAATATAATTTAGTGATTATTTGTGCTGACTATAATAAAATAAAAAAAAAAAAAATTTACTGATAAAAATTTCCCATTAACAGCACGTTCTTGGTTATTCCCGCGGACAACACTCGCGCTACGAAATATAAATACGAGTAATTCGTCTCCACTTCAATCAGTTCACTTCTAATACTGAAGACTCAAGAACAAAAACCCAAAAATGAAAACGATTGCAATTTTTTTCGTCGTCGCGGCTCTCGTAGCCGTGTCATCAACGATTCCCGTTGAACACTACCAAGTTTATCCCGAACAAGCCTACGAAATCTACTCTCCGGTTGAAGTCCAGCGGTTCAGACGCTCTCCCGACGATGGCGAATGGGTCTTCAAACCCAACGTTGGTAGAGACGCCAAAGGAAACACCGGAGCCAACATCGAACTCGAACGCAAGGGAGAAGACCACGACTTCCGCGCCACTTATTCGAACATGGGACCAGAAACGTGGAGCGTGGGAGGAACCTTCAGGTGGTAACTGAATTATTGAAGAATAAAAAGTTCGACAGTGTACATACTTAGTAATTTATATTCTTAACTTATGTAATTGAGGCAATAAAAAACTAATTATAATAATATTGTTAATGCTTAATCATCACTCTCGTATTCACATAACACAAACATTTAACAGTAATTGATGATTCGAGCTCGCAAATCTGCTTCTGATACATCATCATAAATTACATTATGTGGCGGCGAAGACTGATGGTGCCTGTCCAGCCCGGGATTCCCCATTTCCAGACAATCGTCGTCACGTCCATGCCGAACCCGTCCATCACAAAAAGGACGTCCATTAAAGCTTAACAAGGCATTAAACGAGTCTAGACGACTCGGCTTGCACTTTTTTGTCCACGGCTTTATATTACATCCTCGTGGAACGATTTGCATGCAAAGAGATTCTCCCGCCCCCCGCCTCCACGTAATTCCAATACATTTTTTAGCGCGTGTTAACGACGCCAGATGGAATCCGGGGAGGTTCCGGTATTTTTTTAAATCATCTAAAAGGGTGTGTGTGAACAAATGTAATTTGGTTTCAAGAACTTTAAATCGTTGAAAGGTCGGAGGTGATGAAAGATGATCTAATCTGCACTGGAGATTTGAGTACTTTGTGGTAATTTTGAAGTTTTTGGATTATTTTCTTGGGCGTTGGCGGGAGTTTAAACTTGGCATTTTCTTACATGTTTCCGCCTCTCTTGTTATTTTTAAACCACTAGAAATTATTTTAGGGTTTGTAACCTTCTTTTACATAAAATAAAAATTTTCATTGCATTTTTCATTCTTTTTGTTTTCCCAATTACATTTGAGAACTCAAAAAATCGAAAAATTGGAGAATTAAATACGGAAAAATTTAAACTTAAAAAACAGATAAATCGAAAAATCGATACGAAATCCAGAAATCGAAACATTGAAAAATCGAAAAACTAAATACCAAAAAATTGAAAAATCAGAAAATACAAAATTATTTGAATTTAAAAAATCCGAAAAATGGAAATATCGAAAAAATTAATCAAGAAATTGAAAAATCCAATCAAAACATCAAAAAATCGAAAAATACAAAAATTTAAGAACTTATTTTTATAAAAATCGGAAAATTTTTGAAAATCGAAAAAGTAAAAAATTGAAAAATCAAAAATCGAAAGTTCGAAAAATCTAAAAATTAAAATATCTACTTACTAAAAATTTAAAATGGAGAAATAAAAAAAAAATAAAAATCGAAAATGTAAACTTTAAAAAATCGAAACAAAATTGAGGAATTGAAATGTCGAAAAATTGGAAAAGCAAAAAAATGAAAAGCGAAAAATGAAAACAGAGAGAAATCGAGAAATCGAAAGTGCAAAGCGGAAACATCGAGAAATCGAAACATCAAAAGATCGAAAAATCGTAAAGTCGAGAAGTTGAAAAATCGAAAAATTGAAAAATTAAATACTGAAAAATTTAAACTTAAAAAACAGATAAATCGAAAAATTAAATTTAAAGATTTGAAAAGCTGATAAGCAGTAAGATTCGAAGAACTGAAACATTGAAAGATCGTGAAATGGAACACATTAAAATTTGAAAATTCAAAAAATTAAAATATCGACAAAATTAAACAAAAAATAGAAAAATCAAGAAATCAAAACATCAAACAATCGAAAGATTGAAAAGTTTAGGAACTTATATTTAAAAAATCGTAAAAGTAAAAAATAAAAAATCAACAATCAAAAAGTTGAAAAACTGTAAGATCGGAAACGCGAGAAATAGAAAAACTGAAATATCGAGAAATCAAAAAGTCGAAAAACCCAAAAAATGTCTAAAAATCGAAAAATTGAATAGTAGAAAAATCTTAAAAATCGAAAAACCGAGATGTCGAGAAATCGAAAATTCGAAAAATCTAAAAATGGATAAATAGAAATTGTAAAATTTAAAAAATCGAAACATGAAACAATTTTAAAAATTGAGAAATTGAAATGTCGAAAAATTGGAAAAGCAATAACACTAAAAGCGAAAATCGAAACACTGAGCATCGAGAAATCGGAAGTGAAAAACTGAAACATCGGGAAATCCAAAACATCAAAAATCAAAAAATCGTGAAGAAAAATTAAAAACCGAAACATTGAAAAATAGGAAAATCAAAAATTCCAAATTCGAAAAACTGAAAAATCTAAAAATTAAAATATTGAAAAATCAATCGAAAAATGGAAAAATTATTAGAATTTCTACTTATTAAAAATTTAAAATGGGTAAATCGAAAAATGGAAAAATCCGTAAACTGAAATTGAAAAATTGAAAATCGAGAAATCGGAGAATCGAAAAGCCGAAAAATCAAAAAATTATTATTCGATTTAATCGAAACGTCAAAAGATCGAAAAACCGTGAAGTAAAGATCTAAAAAAATCCTAAAATCGATACGAAATCGGGAAATCGAAAAATTGAAAAATTGGAACATAAAAAATTTAAATAAAAAAAATCGAAAAATCGTAAAGTCGAGAAGTTGAAAAATCGAAAAATTGAAAAATTAAATACTGAAAAATGTAAACTTAAAAAACAGAATTTGATAAATCGAAAAATTAAATTTAAAGATTTGAAAAGCTGAAAAGCAGTAAGATTCGAAGAACTGAAAAATTGAAAGATCGTGAAAAGGAACACATATTAAAATTAAAAAAATCAAAGAATTAAAATATCGATAAAATTAAACAAAAAATAGAAAAATCAAGAATTCAAAACATCAACCAATCGAAAGAATAAAAATTTTAGGAACTTATATTTAAAAAATCGTAAAAGTAATAAATAAAAAATCAACAATCAAAAAGTTGAAAAACTGAAAGATCGGAAACGCGAGAAATAGAAAAACTGAAATATCGAGAAATCAAAAAGTCGAAAAACCCAAAAAATGTCTAAAAATCGAAAAATTGAATAGTGGAAAAATCTTAAAAATCGAAAAACCGAGATGTCGAGAAATCGAAAATTCGAAAAATCTAAAAATGGATAAATAGAAATTGTAAAATTTAAAAAATCGAAACATGAAACAATTTTAAAAATTGAGAAATTGAAACGTCGAAAAATTGGAAAAGCAATAACATTAAAAGCGAAAATCGAAACACTGAGCATCGAGAAATCGGAAGTGAAAAACTGAAACATCGGGAAATCCAAAACATCAAAAATCAAAAAATCGTGAAGAAAAATTAAAAACCGAAACATTGAAAAATAGGAAAATCAAAAATTCCAAATTCGAAAAACTGAAAAATCTAAAAATTAGAATATTGAAAAAATCAATAAAAAAATGGAAAAATTATTAGAATTTGTACTTATTAAAAATTTAAAATGGGTAAATCGAAAAATGGAAAAATCGAAAATGTAAGAATTAAAAAACCGAAACACTAAAAAATTTGAAAAAAATTGAGAAATTGAAATGGCGAACAATTGGTAAAGCAAAAAAACGAAAAGCGAAAAATCATGAAGCCGAGAAGTCAAAAATCGAAAAATTGAAAAATTAAAAACTGAAAAATTTAACCAGATAGATCAAGAAAAAGAAAAATTGAAAAATCGATAAACTGGAAAATCGAAAAAATTAAAAACCGAAAAGTTAAAAAATAGGAAAATAAAAAATTTAAAATTCAAAAATTCGAACAATCGAAAAATCGAAAAATCGAGAAATTTGAATACATATTTAAAATTTTAAAAATAGAAAAATTAACAAATATCGAAAAAATTAATAAAAAAATGGAAAAATTAGGAAATCAACACATCAAAAATTGAAAAACTGCAGCATTTAAGAATTTACGTTTAAAAAATAGAACATTTTTGAAAAATCGTAAAAATAAAAATTCAAAAATCAAAAAGTCGAATAATTGAAAAAACCTAAGATTGAAAAATCCGTAAACTAAAATTGAAAAATTGAAAATCGAGAAATCGGAGAATCGAAAAGCCGAAAAATGAAAAAATTATTATTCGATTTGATCGAAACGTCAAAAGATCGAAAAACCGTGAAGTTGAGATCTCGAAAAATCCAAAAATCGATACGAAATCGGGAAATCGAAAAATTTAAAAATTGGAACATAAAAAATTTAAAGAAAAAAAATCCGAAAAATTTAAAAACATGTAGAAAGTCTCCCAGAATTGAAAAATCGAAGAATTAAAGTATCGAAAAAAATTAATCAAAAAATTGAAAAATCAAGAAATCAAAACATCGAAAATCGAAAAATATAAAAATTTAAGAACTTATGTCTATAAAATTCGAAAAATTTTAAAAAATTGGAAGAACCGAAATATCGAGAAATCAAAAATTCGAAAAATCTACAAATTGAAATATCTACTTATTAAAAAATTTCAAAATGGGGAAATCGAAAAATGGAAAAACGGAAAATGGAAAATTTAAAAAATCGAAATACTGGAAAATTTGAAAAAATCGAAAAATTGAAATGTCTAAAAATTGGAACAAGAAAGAAACGAAAACCGAACATTGGAAACAAAAATTGAGAAATCGAAAGTGCAAAACTGAAACATCGAGAAATCGAAACATCGGAAGATCGAAAAACCTGAAGTCGAAAAGTCGAAAAATTGATAAATTAAAAACTGAAAAATTTAAACAGATAAATCGAAAAATCGAAATTAACTGGAAAATCGAACAATTAAAAACCGAAAAATTGGCAATCGATGAAAATGAAAAATTATAAATTTAAATATTTGAAAAGTTGAAAAATAGAAAGATTCGAAGAACTGAAAAATCGGAAAATCGTGAAATTGAATATATTTTTAAAATTTTAAAAATCGAAAAATTAAAATATCGACAAAATTAAACAAAAAATTGAACAATCAAGAAATCAAAAAGAAAAATTAAAAAACTGCAAAATCGAAATATTGAAAAATTTAAAAATTAGAATATACTTATTAAAAAATTTAAAATGGAGAAATCTAAAATTGAAAAAATCAAAAATATAAAATGTAAAATATAAAATGTAAAAAATTGGAAAAGCAAAAAAAACGAAAAACGAAAAATCGAAACACCGAGAAATCGAAAAATCGTGATGTGAATGAGTCGAAAAATCAAAAATTTAAAAATTAAAACCGAAAAGTTAGAAAATAGGAAAATCAAAGATTTAAAATTTAAAAAATAGTAAAATTAAAATATTGAAAAAATTAATCAAAAAAATTGCAAAATCAAGAAATCAGCACATCAAAAATCATTTAAGAATGTACGTTTAAAAAATAGAAAATTTTTGAAAAATCGTAAAAGCAAAGCATCAAAAATCAAAAGTCTAAAAATTGAAAAAACGAAGTATTGAAAAAATTTTGTTTTTTTCTAAAAATCTCGACATCTAAACAAAAAACAAAAGGACCATGTTACTTTTTGACATTTACATAACATTTATCCGACAAAATTGTAAGATGACGTGATCAATTCCTGAGGTGAGGGCACGACCGGATAGGTTTATTTTAACTACCGACTTACCATTTACAAAATTTCAAAGCATTCGATTTTGCAATTTCAAAGTCAAACTGTAAAACGCTGTTATACAATTTTGAGTTTTTCCAAAAATCTGGATGCTCAGGAAAAAACTAAACGTGTATTTATAAACCTCACGTAGAGGAAAAAAGAAACAACTAAAAATTGTTACTCAAATACAAAGAGGTTCCACTTCAAGACGTGATTGAAGATTTTATTTTTGTTTTGGAGAGATATTTTTGATAATATTTAATCAGTGTTTGTAATTTCTAAATTGTTATTACTTAAGTATTGTACTTTAACGAAGAACTAATCACTTTCTAGTATTGAAGATTTTTTAATATAACAGTAACTCCAAGAAAAAAAAAATTAGAGATTTCTCAAAATGACCACATTTCAAGGGGAGCTACTGAACACAATTTTGAAATAACGTAATATTAGTAACCTTTTGGTAAAAAAGAAAACCCAAAATCAGCATCCAAATACGAAGAAACCTCAACAACAGCACACAAGAAAACGGTTCTTCACCATGGGATATCCCCACACACTCAACACTGGTGCCACAATTCATATATAAACACCACACATCTCGTTCAAACTCAGTCGACCTTGTCACAACACAACGTTCCATTACCACTACAAGATGAACAAACTGAGCAATTTCTTCGTCCTTGCAGCCCTCCTCGCTGCTGCCCTGGCAGTACCAGCAGCCGAATACCAGTACGACCCGGAAGAAACGCACCTCCTCCACCCCCCAACTAAACCCATTGGGCAAATCTACCGCATTCGGCGCTCCCCGCAAGGAGAATGGGTGTTCAAACCAAACTTCGGACGGGACGCCGACGGGAACACTGGAGGAGTCATCGAGCTGGAAAGACAAGGCGACGACAATGAGTTCAGAGCCGTTTACTCCAAGCCTACTGACGGAGGGCGCGAAACCTGGAACGTTGGAGGGACTTTCAAATTTTGAAGAACACATCGACCGACTGTTATTTATTTATTTATTTTAATTTTAAATATTTGTAATAAATAAAAGTACTATTTTCAGATTTCTGTGTATTTTTTTTAATAAGTTCGTTTTTATCACTGTTCCCTTTAAAACATAACGCTCCTCTGGGACGACCCTCTGAATTGAAAAATAAACGTCAGCGAATAAATTCTTATCAATAAAGATTAGTTCCAAAAATAGTAATTAATTACTTTAGATAAATGCAGGAAACACAATTACAGATATTTTTATTTTTTAAGCTCTTTATAATAACAGAGGTTATCAGTTGTCGAACAAGGACGGACTTGCTCTGGGCTAACTATAGTGAAGAAAACGGTTCTTCACAGTGGGAAATCCCCACGAACACACCACAATCGCTACAATTTATATATAAACAGCACAAATCTTGTTCACCACAAGATTAACAAACCGAGCCATTTTTTCGTCCTTGCAGCACTCCACGCTGACCCAGATGAAACTACAACTAAACCCATTGGGCAAACTGACTGTATTCGGCACTCCCCACAAGGAAAATGGGTGTTCAAACCAAACTTCGGACTGGATGCCAGCGGGAACACTGGAGGAATCATCGAATTGGAAAAAGAAGGAGGTGACGACGGTAACGAGTTCAAAGCCGTCTACTCCAAACCCACTGACGGAGGGCCCGAAACTTGGAACTTTCGAGGGACATTCAAATTTTGATTTTTTTATCTGTGTATTTTTTCTCTGTAATAAGTTCGTTTTCATCACGACTGTTCCCGTAATTTTAAGTAACCTATTTTCCAACAAATAACCGCCCTTTGCAACAAATTCACCCCTTTAAATCAGACATAACGCTCCTCCGGGACGACCCTCTTCTTTAATCACCCAATAAAAACGTCTTCTGGGATGTACCCGCCCGAAGTAGATAAATTATACCCGGGGAAGCCCAACTCTCGAACAATGCACGTAATTGTTGGAAGTTCTCACTCAGACGACACAATTATCCTTTGACACGGCGTGTAATTCCCAATCCTGAGCCCTTCAAATCGGCGCCTGTGAAAAGATGCTAATTGAAAATCGTCCTGGCATATTTCGCTGACGAGCCAGTTACTGGCGTTAATGTGTATCTCGGGCCCTTAAACGCCGCCAAGGAGGTCCTGAAGGGTTTTTGGAAGGATAATGATTCTGGCGATTAGCACGTCGCAGAGATCGATGATGAGTGTTCATCTACCTGTGAATCGAAACACGTGTATTACAATTCTCATTTATAAAACGTGATTCATATTAATTATTTGTAGCCACAGTATATCAAAATATCCTTGTTTTTCCTCTGTTTGTTGCTTCGCTCCCTTTGTTTTACCAACCCTCGCCATCAATTCCCAACTATAATCCCCGTCTGAACCACAAACTAATTTCGAATCGATACCCCCACGTAAAGAATAACACCTACCCCCGGCTTATTTATCCCTACAATGTTTACAAATCACAATAACCCACGACCATTCATACAAAGTGTCTCAACCATTAACCCAGGAATTCAGCGAGGGAACGTCAGAAAAATCGGCATATTGCGCTTTGTGAAAGCCTTCATGTCCACATCAAGCCCCGACAGATTCCATTTTTATCTCTCGGGCTCGCGGAGGATATCTCTATTTATTTTTCCATCTAGAAATGCGAGTAATCTGTCATCTAATCCAACACCAGAGTTTAGGCGGGGATTGCCGGGGGCCGATAAGCCGAAAACTGATCGTTTGCTGAGGATGGCCGAATCGGGGGCAACGACATCGTGGTCGAAAAAAGCGTGCAAAAAAAATGAGTGCAATGGTGCGTAAAGTAACCATGTTACACACTCCCAAAAGCAATTTTGTAAGTATATCGTTATTAGCTAGACATTTTGAGTAAGTTACGATTTATAAGAACTTGCTCATTATTAACTTGCTCGAGGGGCTTGTTTGCCAACTTCACTGCAACATTGGATTTTTCTATGCCTTCTCCGCAAACAACGCGATGGATTCGTTTGTCCTATTATCTTTATTAACGTGGGTTATTTCGTAAAATCTGACGAATGAGGGAAGCTTGATTTTTTTACGGTCCAAAGGGAGATGATTCCGCACTAAAACGATTGAAAAAAATTGGTCGAAAAATTTAACTTTGATAATAACATTTCTTTTTGATGATGACCCTTATGAGTTAAAATTAATATATGCGTGGATTGTTAAAGTACAGGTAAAAAGCATGGTATGCATATGTTTCTGGTGACTTTTTCCATATACATTTTTTTTAATGACGTTATAAACATTTTAGCAAGGACACGTATGTTAATGTGAACAGTTTTTTGCAAAAATATGGATGGATTCATGAACCACAAATACACATGAAACGTCCAGAAAACATAAAAGTAGCCAGTCGCCCAATGGACAGGATTGATCTGTTGAGGGTTTGTATGTACAGTGAACAAGCATTTGTATTTTGCTTTACGATTTTTAATTTTTCGATTCAATGTTACGATTTTTCTAGTTACCAATTTTAAATTTTTAGATTTTTCAAGTTTTGAATTTCCCAGTTTTTCCATTTAAAATTTTTCCTTTCCTCAATTTTACGATTTTGCTATTTTCAATTTTTCGATCTTTAGTTTTTCGATTTTTAATATTTAGATTTTTCTTTTTTTTCCTTTTCCAGATTATTAATTTTTCAGTTTTTCGATTTAAATTTTTAGATCTTTAAATAATGATTCAATAATGTAAATAAAGATTCAATTTAAATTAACATTTTTCGATTTTCAGTCACTCAATTTTAAATTTTCTAGTTTTTTTCTCCATTTCTAAAAGTTGTGGAGTTCTGTTTCTCAAATTTTAATTTTTGATTTGTAAGGTTTCGGTTTCTCGAATTCTTAAACTTTTTCAAATGTTTCATCGTGGAAATTTTTCAATTTTTCGATTTCTACGATTTTTTAATTATTATCTATCAATTATTACCTTCTGAAATTCATTTTTTTTTATTTTCTATTGTTCGAATTTCTATTCTTGAATTTTTCAGTCTGTCATTGTTGCAATTTTTCGAATTTTCAGTTTTTTAGATTTTTCTGATTGTTGAATTATTTTTAAGCTTTTTTTCCGATTTCAAATTTTTCGATTTTTCAATTTTTAAGCGTAACACGTTTGTAAGATTCGATTTTGCAGTTTTTTTAATTTTCCGATTTTCGCTTCTACAATTTTTCAATTTTTAGATTTTTCAAGTTTTGAATTTCGCAATTTTTCGAGTTTCAAATTGTTCCTTTCTTCAATTTTACGATTTTGCTGTTTTAAATTTCAGTTATATTGTTTAATTTTTCAATATTTCAATTTTTTAGTTTTAACATTAAATTCCTCGGTTGTTAATTTTTCTGTTTCACGATTTTCTATTTTTCGACTTTTAGTTTCTCGATTTTTTAATGTTTCAATTTTTCAATTTTTCATTTTCTCGATTATTAATTTTTCAATGTATAGATTTAAATTTTTAGATTTTTAAATAATAATAATTTATTTACGAAAGCGGTTCTTTACTAAAATCAAAAATTCAATTTAAATTAATTTTTCGATTTTAATTTCGCAATTTATCGAAAAATCCAAAACATGAAAAATCATGAATCTTCGGAAAACTGAAACATCCAAACCGAAAATCGACTAACTGAAGAATCGGAAAATATAAAAATCGAAAAATCGAAACCTAAAATGTCGACAAGTTGGAAATTCTAATAATTAAAGGACAGAAATTTGAAAATCGGGAAAAACATGATCCAAAAACTAAAAAGTCGAAGAATTAAAAACTTAAAACTGGAATAACTGAAAAATTAAGCAAAACTGAAAGTCTAAAATTTCGAAAGTTTTTTAAATTTACAGTTTCCAAGTTTCATTTTTTTTTCACAATATCTCAATTTTTAACTGTTTGAATTACTGGATTTTTAGTTTTTCAATGTTTCAGCTTTTGATTATTCAATTTTTCGATTTTACACATTTTTACGTCTTTCAAAAATTGAGACATTAAGAAACTAAGAACTTGAGAATTTAAAAACTTGAGAAACTGAAATTTTTCAAAAATTGATTAATCAAAAAATAAAAAATTAAAAAATCGAAAACTTGAAAAATTGGAAAATTGAAAAATGGAAAAGCTGTAAAATCGTAAAATTGAAAAGGTGAAAATTGTTAAAAGTTATAATTTTTGCCACATAATTTGATAAAAATGAAAAATTAAAAAATATAAAATTGCAAAATCCAAAAATCTGAAAATTTTACGTTGAAAAGAAGAAAAATTAGAGTCAAAACATTGAAAAAAATAAGGAAAATAACAACTCAAACGAAAAATTGCAAATCGAAAAACTGAAACAAAAAAATGAAAGATTGAAAAATCTCAAATCTAAAAATTGAAAAAATTACAATTGAAAAAACAAAAAATTATAAAGTCGAAACATTAAAAAATCAAAAAGTTGGAAAATTGACAAACTTGACAGCTCGAAAAATTGCAAAAGGGTAAACTGAGGAAACAAAAAAAAAGAAAAATTGAAGAATTGAAAAATATAAGTAAAAAAACTGTAGGAATATTTTTTACACCACTGATTTTCATTTTATAGAGGTTATCAGAAAATAAAAATAGCAAACTACTGGACTGATTGTTGCCAAATTTTCTATGTGGAATATGATGTAGAGGGTAAAACGCTAACCAAAATTCGGTTAAATTTTCTACTACTTTTTTTTTTCAAATTCTCAATGTTGCGGTGTTCTGCTTCTCAAATTTTAGTTTCTAATTTTTCAGATTTTCGTTTCGTCAATTGTTCGATTTTTTTTACCTTTTCTGTTTTTAGATGTTTCAGTGTTACAATTATTTTTTAGGTTTTTCATTTTTGATTATCCGATTTCTTGGTGTTTGGACTTTTCAATTTTTCAATTGTTTAATTTTTCAGTTCAATTTTCTATTATTCAATTTTCCAATTCTTTCAATATTTATTTTCTCGATTTAATATTTTTCCATTTTCAATTTTTTAATTATTTTTCAAAGATTACTTTCTCGAAATAATTTTTTTTGATTTTCTGTTGTTCGAATTTCAGTGATTCAATTCTTGTGCTTTTCGGTTTTTCATTGTTGCAATTTTTTGATTTTTCTGGTTTTTGAATTATTTTTATTTTTAAGATTCGGTTTTGCAGTTTTTTCAATTTTTCGATTTTCGGTTCTTCCATTTTTCAATTTTGTTGATTTTTATTTTCTCCGATTTCAACTCTTTTCGATGTTTCATTGTTGCAATTTCTATATTAATCGATTCAATATTTCGAATCGCAATTTTTGAATTTGTAAGTATTTTTCTTTTTTTTCAATTTTTAAATGTTTCGGTGTTGTGTTTCTCAAATTTTAATTTTTAATTTTTCAATTTTTCGTGTCTTCAATTTTAGGATTTTACAATTTTTCGATTTTTCCAATATGTATTACATTTTTATAATTTTTCGGTTTTTCGATGTCTCAGTGTTACGATTTTTAGGTTTTTCATTTTCGGTCTTTTGGTCTTGCGACTTCGAATTTAAATGTTTCGATTTTCTATTTCTCGAATTTCAATTCTTGAACTTTTCGGTGTTTGATTTTTGCAAATTTTTAATTTTTCTATTTTCTCGTCTTCAATTTTTGAGTTTTTTCGATTTTTATTTTCTCGATTTAATATTTTTCTATTTTTAGTTACTTTAATTTTTTGTTGTTTTGAATTTTGTAATTTTTCGTCTCACAGTATTTAATTTTCAAGTTTTTCAATTTTTATATTTTGAATTTCTCGAATTCTTAAACTTTTCGAGTTTTACTTCCTCAAATTCAAATTTTTCAATTTTTAAATACGTATTTTAATTTTTTGAAATGTTCATTTTTTCGATTTTTCAATTTTTCGTTATTTCCGTTTTAGGATTTTGCAATTTTTAGATTTCTCAATTATTAGATTTTTACATTTTTTAATTTTTCAGATTTCTGTTTGTATTATTTTTCGGCCTTTACTTCCTCGGTTTCAAATTTTTCGAGTTTTCCATTTTTAACCGTAGAACGTTTCAAAATTAAATTGTAAATTTTGTTATACACAAAAATCTGCAGGATGTTTTCGTATTCTTGGGGTCACGAAGCGTCGAGAAAATATATAAGTGTCCAGTCGCCCGACGGACTCGATTACAATACCTCCTTAGCTTACGCTCGCGATGTCGACAAGTTAAAATTAAATAAATATAAGCTCGCTAGCCTTTTCCAACAAACCGAGGCCATCCAGACCCTCCGAGTTCTGCCCGGACTTTTCTTTCTTTATTTTTCTTTTCCAAGTACATCGAAGTTCGTTTTTAAACAACGTCGTTTCTGCCTCACCAACTTACAGTTTTCGAGTTAAGTAGCTAACACAAGCTCTTTAATTATGAATAAACCAAAACCCCCATATTTATGTAAAACGTTAACTGAGAATGCGTAAAAAACCGCCGCCGGCACATTTACGAAACGCTAGTTTTTTCAACGAATTTACATTGTGTGTGGTAAACATGTTAAGCTCTAGATACGATTTCGTAATAAAATTCTCCACAGTGTCGCGATGTTTTATGATCGGGTTGTTCCCTTTGCCGCAAACTTCTGTATTAGGAAACTCGTCAAAGCTCGTTTGCACCAGTTTGATGTTCGAGGATAATTCTAAAGGTGGTGGTTAAGTACAAGAATCTGCGTTGGGAGAATGAGTTAATGAGGTTTGAGTATCAGCCAAACGGAAACATGTTTTCAGCGTTCAGCTCGGGTTCAAGGGTAAAGTAACGGTAATAATGATTAATAATATTAATGGGGATGTTTGACTGGGGCTTAAATTGCGCATTTGTCGGCAAGAAGATTCCAGTCATCGGAGTAATCACACACGGATTAAAAATCGAACATTTTCGTTGAAAAGAAAACGTAAAGGGCCAATTTGTTCCTCCATCGCCCCAGCAATGTTTAATTTCCTAATACAAGCACTTTAAATTCCCCAAGCCATAATTCCTGATCCCCCTACTAAAGTGTAAAAACCGATTCAATTTTTCCAACAGGCCTCTTTATCACCCTGCCAAACTTTCCAGCGCTGGATGCGTCGCGACGCTTCGCACCCCTCCATCGCGACGCTCAGCACGCTTTCCTTTCAGTTGTGCTTTTGCTGCGCTGTTGTGATATTGGCATCGAGAGCTTTCCGCATTTCTCGCGAATTTGTCTCTTTGACGTGATTGCTCCACTCCGTCGTCAAAGGTAAGCTTTTCACTTGTATCTTTCTTTTTGCGCACTTTACGAAACTTCTTCGAATAAATCGACCTGTCACGGGCAGGCGATAACTTTCGAAGTATTGGTTCTTTGGAAGTTCCTCGGAACGGGAAACAGTTACAAGGGAAAGTAACAAAAAACGAAACCGGAAAACGCAGACGAATGGATTTTCTAATGAAAAAATTCAACAATACAGCCCTCCAGAAAACCGATGACGTCATTCAAGGACACTATTTTGCATATTTGTACCTGGGTTTTTTCCTGCCACCTGTGACAACCCCAGCGCATTTCGTGCGATCCTCCTCAATCGCAAATAAATTCATTTCATTATGCAAATGGGTTTCTTAGCTTCGCAGGAATGCGAGTGATGGCTCCATAAATTTCGATTTGCGAAAATGAATTCGGATTTTCGGGCCGAGCAAAGCGGGGATTAAAACTGTAACACTCCGTGAATTTTCGAGGATAATACAAAGGAGCAATTATCGTCGCGCATAATTTTGGGGAATAATCCGTCCGGCGCTTTCGCGCTTAATTCGCGAAATTATTTCCAGAACAATATGTTAGAAGAGGCGAAAGAGCCGTCGCGAGAAAAAACGCACCCGGAGGACAGATACGAGTCCGAAATTAATTTTCTTAGCTTAATGAGTTCATCGCGGCGTGAATTATTAATCTGTAGCGAGGAAACAATAAAGACGTTTAAGGGATGCGCCGGCTGAAACTGAAAGAGCTTCGAGCTTTGATTTCGTCGTAGTTATTAATTTTAGCGCTTTTTAGACAGAATTTTAGAAATTAATCGAAATTTATAGTCGTTAGGGGGTTGTTTCTGGGTGAACAATTAGATTAGGATTATTTTCGCCGCAAACTTCGCTTGACGACTATGAAACACTACAAGATAAACCGGATAATTTATGTTTTCTCGAAAAACCTGTTGTCAGTTCCAGTGACAGATCGTTTGAATCCTGAAAGCTTACAAATACATTTTTAACTTTCATTATTTCTGCGAAACTGAACACAATGAAAAGTAAGATAAGCTTTTGTTTATTTAATTCCATAAAACATTAAAAAGCAATTTTCTTTTTCTTCGCTTGTAGGGAATTATTAGCTTAGAATAAACATTTTTAAGGGAATGTTGGATATTTTAATTCCGAATATTCATAAATCTTCTGGCATTATTCGTTTCGTTTTTTATTCACTGTGAGCACCCCGAATATACTCATAATTAGATGAAAATTGCCATAAAATACAATTATCATGATAAGTCTATTTGAGAAACTTCAGTATCAGAGACAATCTACTCAACCCTTTTTCACCCTGATTCCTGGAATTCCCACAGGGAAAAAAATCTATATCTATATTACAGGGGCCATAAATTTCACGATTTTAACAAGATCGTATACATGAATCAATACACTTTCTAACTGTAGTTTCGGTATCGTTCAAGGACCCTAGATTCCCTAAGGGCACCTCCTGGCTTCTGCTTGTTCGGTTACTATTACAAGAAAACTACGTACCGTAGTTAGTAAACTTACAGCCCAAACTTAGAATGTTAGTCAGGATTTCACACATGTAACGTTAATTAACGATTTTTAAAATTCCAAAAAACAAAATCTCTCGTGTTAAAGGTTCATAAATACCAAAAAAATGGTTCTCCTCAAATTCACAATTATTTTTTTGTCTGGATAAATAAATGCCTTACAGTTCAAATATTTAACAACGTCATTATAAAATATATTGAATAGCAGTGGAACTAAGTTTGACCTTCGCCCCATACCACTGATTTAATTCCACCACAAGTCATAAATTGTTTTCCTCTAACATTCGGAACACAATATTTTTTAAATTAAAGGATTTTACCCCGCTTTTCCAAAGGTATGTTTAAAAAAAAAACAAATTTTAGTTTTTTTAACATTTGCCTTTTTCCCGTTTTTTGTTGGGCGGCCTCAGATAAAGCCGTCATCGTGATTCCTCTGAAATAATAATGAAATTCCAACAAACTTTATTAAATTATTCATTTTAAATTAATAATATAAATTTATTTTTATGCCTTCTATTTTCTTAGCAGGCGTATGTCATTGGCCAAAATCGATCTAATTTTAGCAGATACTAACCCCGCCCACCCGCCCTCTCTTTTTTTAAAAGGTATGTCATTTGCCAAAGTTAACTTCGTCTTAGCAGGAACTAGCCCCGCCCACCCACCCTCTCATTTCTTAGAGGCTATGTCATTTGCCAAAATCACTCTTATCAGGTCCTAGCCACCCACAGTCTGTTTTCTTAGAAAATATGTCATCTGTCAAAATCAGTTTTATCTTAGCAGGTACTAGCCCCTCCCACCCGCCCTCTCTTCTCCTACAGGGTATCTCACTTGCCAGAATTAGTTTTATCGTGGCAACTACTAGCTCCGCCCACCCACCCTTTCTTTTCTTAGAGGATATGTCATTGCAAAATCAGCTTTATCTTAGTACTGATGAATTAGTTATTATAATTATCAAAATTTAGAAATATTACTAGCGTACTTATATGCAGAAGACAGGAATTTTTAACATCTTCTCTAGTGTTTAGTTGGTTATGCTTTAATGGATTTTTCTTTTGTTGGTTCTGTTTTTGTTTATAATTTATAAATATCTTATTAAATGTTTTTTTGGTTTATTTATTAATGAAAAATAAAAGCTTATTTTATTAATAAAGAGTCAGAATAGAATATTGAAGAGTCAGAATGGATTTTTCACTTCTTCAATTTTTCGATTTTTCGGGTTTTTGTTTTTCCAATTTTTTGATTTTTTAAGCTTATGATTTTTCGACTTTGCTTTTTTAGTTTTTCGGTTTCTCAATTTTTCAATGTTTTTAATTTCTCATTTTTTTAGATATTTCTTTCAGTTTTGGCGTTTAGTCAATATTTCGATTTTTGGACTGCAGGATTTTTTGATTTCGCGATCTTTACTTTTTTGATTTTCAGTTTTTCGTTAAACTTTAGATTTGCCAATTTTCCGACTGTTTTATACTCCAATGTCTTAATTTTTCAACTTTTCGATGATTTATCAGTTTTTAAAATTTCGATTTTTCAATTTTCCTTTTGCAAATTTTTCGATTTTTCAATTTTTTGATTTCTCGATTTATCGATTATGTTTCGATTCATCAATTTTTCAATTTTTAACTTTTCCTCTCGGCTTTCGAATCCTCGATTTCTCGATCCACTGATTTTTCGTTTTCTCGATGTTTCAGTTTTTGAACTTTTCGATGTTTGAACTTTTGGATTTCTCGGTTTTTCGATTTTTTATTTTTGGACTTTTCAATTTTTCGATTTTCCAGTTTTTCGATGTTTCGATTTTTCAATTTTTTAAATTCTGGAGTTTCCATTTTTCGATTAGTCGAATTTTAAATTTTAGAATTTCGAATTTTTATTTTTTGCTGTTTGGATTTTTCAATTTCTCGAATTTTTGATTTTTCAGTTTTTCTATTTTTCAGATTCTAACTTCGCTAAATTTTCAGTTTTTCAATTCCTCAATTAATCTCTTTTTCAAATTTTTCGATTTTTCAATTTTCTGATTTCTCGATTTATCGATTATGTTTCGATTCATCAATTTTTCAATTTTTAACTTTTCCTCTCGGCTTTCGAATCCTCGATTTCTCGATCCACTGATTTTTCGTTTTCTCGATGTTTCAGTTTTTGAACTTTTCGATGTTTGCATTTTTGGATTTCTCGGTTTTTCGTTTTTTTATTTTTGCACTTTTCAATTTTTAGATTTTCCAGTTTTTCGATGTTTCGATTTTTCAATTTTTTAAATTCTGGAGTTTCCATTTTTCGATTAGTCGAATTTTAAATTTTAGAATTTCGAATTTTTATTTTTTGCTGTTTGGATTTTTCAATTTCTCGAATTTTTGATTTTTCAGTTTTTCTATTTTTCAGATTCTAATTTCGCTAAATTTTCAGTTTTTCAATTTCTCAATTAATCTCTTTTTCAAATTTTTCGATTTTTCAATTTTTTGATTTCTCGATTTATCGATTATGTTTCGATTCATCAATTTTTCAATTTTTAACTTTCCTCTCGGCTTTCGAATCCTCGATTTCTCGATCCACTGATTTTTCGTTTTCTCGATGTTTCAGTTTTTGAACTTTTCGATGTTTGAACTTTTGGATTTCTCGGTTTTTCGATTTTTTATTTTTGGACTTTTCAATTTTTCGATTTTCCAGTTTTTCGATGTTTCGATTTTTCAATTTTTTAAATTCTGGAGTTTCCATTTTTCGATTAGTCGATTTTTAAATTTTAGAATTTCGAATTTTTATTTTTTGCTGTTTGGATTTTTCAATTTCTCGACTTTTTGATTTTTCAGTTTTTCTATTTTTCAGATTCTAACTTCGCTAAATTTTCAGTTTTTCAATTTCTCAATTAATCTCTTTTTCAAATTTTTCGATTTTTCAATTTTCTGATTTCTCGATTTATCGATTATGTTTCGATTCATCAATTTTTCAATTTTTAACTTTTCCTCTCGGCTTTCGAATCCTCGATTTCTCGATCCACTGATTTTTCGTTTTCTCGATGTTTCAGTTTTTGAACTTTTCGATGTTTGCATTTTTGGATTTCTCGGTTTTTCGTTTTTTTATTTTTGCACTTTTCAATTTTTCGATTTTCCAGTTTTTCGATGTTTCGATTTTTCAATTTTTTAAATTCTGGAGTTTCCATTTTTCGATTAGTCGATTTTTAAATTTTAGAATTTCGAATTTTTATTTTTTGCTGTTTGGATTTTTCAATTTCTCGACTTTTTGATTTTTCAGTTTTTCTATTTTTCAAATTCTAACTTCGCTAAATTTTCAGTTTTTCAATTTCTCAATTAATCTCTTTTTCAAATTTTTCGATTTTTCAATTTTCTGATTTCTCGATTTATCGATTATGTTTCGATTCATCAATTTTTCAATTTTTAACTTTTCCTCTCGGCTTTCGAATCCTCGATTTCTCGATTCACTGATTTTTCGTTTTCTCGATGTTTCAGTT